CGGGCCCCGCAGGCGGTCTCTCCCCGCGCACGCGCGTTCCTGCCTTCCCCGCCCCACCCGGGGAAACGCACCGGCGAACGCGGGGGTTGCGCCCCCGGAGAAAGGGCGGTGGGCGGAGTCGAGTCAGGAGCGCCCCTCTCGCCTCCGCGCTGGTCTCGCGAGGCCCGCCTGCTCTCGCGATACCGGCCTGGGGGCGGGGCGCTCCCTGATTGGCGCGGGCGGGGGCGGCTCCGCGGGGCGGGGCGGAGCGGAGCGAGTCGTCCGAGGGCGCCATGGCCTCGCTGCGCGCGCTGCTGACCCGCGGCCCCCTGCGGCCCCCGGCCCGCTCGGTGCTGCGGCGCTTCGCCTCGGGTGAGTGCGGGGCCCGGCACCCCCAGGACTCCCGGCACCGGGTCCTGCTCCAGCCCCTGCTGCTGCGGGCGCCCCGGGGCGCAGGGAGGACCCCGCCGGCTCGCGGGGCTGCTGGCGGGCCGCGCGCGGGTCGTGAAGCCCCCGCGTTCACCCCTTAGTCCCCGGCCGTGCCCACCAGCTGTGAGCGGCAGCGCTGTTCAGTCGCGCAGGACGGGGCCGGGAGCGCAGGCCGGTTTCGTCCCGTGGCGCCCCCTGTCCGTGCCCAGCGAGGCCAGTGCCCGCCCCGCCCCTCCCTCGCGCCGTCCTGGGGGAACCCGGGCTCCCGCCCACACCCCCGCCGGCCGAGAGTCCCCTGCCCTCTGGCTCCCTGGGCCGGGGCCGCCTGCAGCCTCCACCGGCTGCAGTGTCTGGGGGAGTGTTTGGCGGTGCCTCGGGGCTTCCATCCTCGTCCGCCTTTACTCCACACATCCGGTGGACTACCCAGTCATGCTGGTCTCACCCCCACGGTCCCCTCGGCCGTCATTCTGCACCCTGGTCCATAGTCGGTCGCTCCTAGGTCTGCTACGTGGCGGGCCGATGGGCAGCACTTCGCATAAAACACGGCAGGGCCCTGATCCCTGTAAAGAAACTACCCGCCCCCCCAGGATGTAGACTTTCTCCTTTGTCCCTTCAGCTGAACTTTTTTCCTCTCTGCGGCCACTGCCTGCCCCCACCCCCAGGCTGAGCTAGCCACCCCTGCAGGTCGCGGCAGTCACCCAAGAACGTAGCTGTCCTTGGCCTCTGTCTGCCTCCCTCCCTGCTGTCCACCCAGGAAGGCTGGAGCTCCATCCTGGCAGCAGCCTAGTTCCCCGCACCTGGTCGGCGTTTGTTCAAAGAGGGCATTTCCCTGCCCCTTGCGTCAGTAGAGTGCTGGACATCTTTAGTGCCCTTTCCTGGGAGGAGCTGACCACAGCACCTTGGGAGGAGGAGAGCAGAGCATTGGCCGGCTATGTTCTGTGCTGGGGATTAGTCTTTAACTCCAGGAAACACACAAACAAGTGTGACAGCAGGGAATGGTGCGTCACTCTGCGTCCACTGACAGGGCACATACCTTCCCCATGTCCCAGGTGGATATCTTTGTGCACGGATACCCTTTTTGCCTTCTCACCCTAGGGGCCAAATTTGAGTACATCATCGCAGAGAAAAGGGGGAAGAATAACACCGTGGGCTTGATCCAGCTCAACCGCCCAAAAGCACTCAACGCACTTTGCAACGGCCTCATTGAAGAGCTCAGCCAGGCGCTGGTGGCCTTCGAGGAGGACCCGGCTGTGGGAGCCATTGTCCTCACCGGCGGAGATAAGGCATTTGCAGGTGTGGTGGGCAGCAGCGGTGGCCCCTTGTTTGGGTGGATGTGGGGGGACAGACTTACACTCTGTGGCAGCAGACGACTGGGATTTACTTAAATGGAAAGTGGGGGTGCACGTGGGAACTGCCCAGTGTGCAGCTCTGTGTCTTTGAACGCGCGTGTGGGCTCTGCCAGCCGAAGAGGCTCATTCAAAGGGATTCGGGTCCCCGACAGTGCAGCTCTGTGTGGGTTGAGGGTGTAAGTGATGAATAAGTCCAACATCTCTGGGCCCACCTCGCACCTGTCACCTGTCCCGTGGCCCTCTGTGTCACCTAGTTGGGACACACATCCCCGGTGCCTGCACGTGGAGCACTCGATGGCTCACGCAGGGTCAGGAGATACAGGGCTGGAGCTCTCTGCTGACGGGAACCTCATTTCTGCGCCTAGCTGGAGCCGACATCAAGGAAATGCTGAACCACACGTTCCAGGACTGTTACTCTGGCAAGTTTCTGAACAGCTTGGACGAGCTCACCCGGGTCAAGAAGCCCGTCATCGCGGCTGTCAATGGCTTCGCGGTGAGTGTCGATACTGAGGGTCTCCTCTCAGCGCTTGGGGGAGTTGT